ACTTTGATAATTTACCTTTTCCCTAAAATAATTAGGTCAGTGATACATCTGAGCAAAACGTTGTGTTAAGTCCGAAATTACTTTAGTAACAATACGGAGACAGACAACATTGGTTAAAACACAGATTATACAGATTATAAACTTTGTTTTTTCTTTATTGTTTTTCGTGGTTCCAATTTTCGTAATCGGGCACTAGTTAGGTTACTGGTTTGCGCACATAGCACGCCCACTTATAGCCTCTAAAATTGTACACAGCGCCTGACCGGCACAGTTATTAGAGAGATATCGGAAAACCGAATAGCGTCATGCAGTATTTACGCATACCTTATCATGGTTACGATATGCGCGAGTCAATTTTTAACGCAACACCCGCTAATAACGTTACCGCCTGACGTAATTTGCGGATCAATTACATCAAGCGCTATTTCTAAATAACGTTTAAAAATTGCTTAAATGGGTATGTGCGGGTATTTGACAATCGGGGCCGGCCGGCGAGATCTTTTATTTTAGGTTATGTTTGAATTGTTTTGAATTATTACTTTAGTTTTATTAGGTAATTTGATATTTAAGTAGCTGGGATTAGTTTTAATTAAATAAATATGGCCCAAAATATGGATTCCACCTCTTCCAATATTAAAGAACCTATAAAGAGGCTGAGGTTTACAGCAGATGACGACTTAGCCGTTCTAAGAGAATTTGTTGCTTGTTGCCCTAAACCCACTGGCAGACGTTGAACAATAAAGCACTGGAAATAAGCACTTTAGCCCTTTAGTTTTAAAATACCTAGTAAACAAAACAATTTCAAAGTTAGGTTAAGTTTAAATAGCGGACGCGACGCGAACAGAATTCTTTCCGATCCGATAACTATAAATGAAGAGAGTTAATACCATCTCACGTAAAGGAAATAACACCTGGCCTTATTAACGTCCATGCACGCTATTCGGTTTAGCGATATCTCTCTATTACGCTGTTTATTGTTATTTTACGCGAGTTTATTTTTGCACACAGGAAATTTTACTCGTTTGCACATCGTCATAAAAAACAATTTTCGTACCACGAATTAGGGATAAGATTTTTATCTGTATACTTATAGGATACCTAATCTGGGGTTAAAATATATCTGAACACACTATAGAATCTTATAAAACGCATAAAAATATTTGTAAAAAATTTCTCATTTGTGAATATTCTAATATATTATCGTTAACTAATTCCCAATATTAGTTAGCATCAAAACAGATAACTGTCAATTTTATAATTATCATACTGTATTTAATGTAGTTAACTCTCTGTATAAGTCTTAAAATATATTAAGTAACAATGTACATTGGAAATGAGGTATATGTACTCGGAACTTAAAACTTAGCTGCCATTTTAAAAACCAAGCTTACCAAATTACGATGAGCTAAAACGACATGTGAATAATATGTACAGATTTAAAAGGCACTTATTTACGCACCTAATATATTATGTATGTATGTATATTTTTAATAATAAAATTTATTATGGTCACCAGCAAAGTTCGTATGCAATAATCTTTTCTTCAAAATAATTTTTTAATTTTCTAAAATTTTAAAAGATATGTCCAAATATTAGCCCCCATTGATTTTACAGCAAAGTCGTAAATAAGGTTTTTAAAGGTTTAGGTTTACTGAAATCACACGTCAAACTTGAACAATTTTGGGCAAGCCGTGTTTAACTAATTTAAGAAAAACTGTATCTTTTTTAAATAAAACTGAACCTAGGTAACAATGCAAAACAAAGGCAAAAAAAGGCCAACATACCTTAAGAGTCCATTTCACTAGTCCGAAAAAGTAGCAAAATAAGCGTTCGGCATTTAACGTTTTATGTAAAACTGGCTACGTATTTTAAGATAAAGGATTATACTATATCCGTATTGTGACACATTTTTAGATAACTTTTTTATTTTTAAGATTTTGATGGCCAAATTATGTTTGGACTAAATTTTCTCGAAAATAAAGACATAATTTAAAATTCCGTTACAATACGGAAATAGATTGAAGTTTTGTGATTACAATGATATATAATTTATATGGTTTTGTAACAAATTGCTCGTTATTTTATGGCAAATGCTGAAGCTCTGCAAACCGTAATCAAACCTTAATCAAAGCACGTGTGTTTGGAATTTTGGGTGTGGCTTAACACGACAGGATCGGGCTAAGCCTTAGCCCACGGCCACACAGAAAGCGTTTTTAGCGTTTTGCGTTTTTTGCGTCTCAAGCGGTTTTTGCGATTTTACCGTTTGAAGCGTTTTTTTCGATTTGTGTCCATTAAAAACACGCAAAAGACGCGGCAGGTCGATGTCACAAGATATCAGTTAGTAACTTCGCAAGCTCGTAAATTCCCGGCCCGTTCAACAATCAATCCTGTGAGAAAGAGATAGGCGAGATCGGCGCGGTTAGCGTTGAAGAGACGAAGAAAAAAGAGGTGGTGTGTGTAAAAATAATAATTATTATTTGCCATTTATTTTACGAATTTTAGATTATATTATGTGTATAATTTTTTATGTTGTAGTGTTGTGGTTACTTGTTATAATTATAATATAATATAATAAATAATTATAATTATATAATTGAATAGTAAATATTACTAGATGCTAATGCAATTTTAGGACATGGTTTATGAAAAAAACCATTTGTTACACGTAAAAAACTATTTTATAATCATACTATTTATATAAACATTATATTAACACTATAGTATAATCATACTATTTGTTACACGTAAAAAACTAATTTTTAAGCGTCAAAACTTATTGTTTCTGGTAAAAAACCTTTTTTACGCAAAAAAAATATTTTTTACGTGTAAAAAACTATTTGTTACGTGTAAAAATCTATTTGTTACACGTAAATAACTATTTTTTTACGCGTCAAAAACTTATTGTTTCTGGTAAAAGAACTTTTTTACGCCAAAAAATATTTTTTAAGTGTAAAAAACTATTTGTTACACGTCAAAACTAATTTTTACGCGTCAAAACTTATTGTTTCTGGTAAAAAACCTTTTTTACGCAAAAAAATATTTTTTACGTGTAAAAAACTATTTGTTATGTGTAAAAATCTATTTGTTACACGTAAATAACTCTTTTTATACCCGTCAAAAACTTAATTGTTTCTGGTAAAAAAACTTTTTTACGCCAAAAAATATTTCTTACGTGTAAAAAACTATTTGTTACGCGTAAAGAACTTAATTTATACGCGTCAAAAACTTATTGTTTCTGGTAAAAAACTTTTTTTACAGAAAAAAAATTACGTGTAAAAAACTATTTGTTACACGTAAAAAACTATTTGTTTCTGTGTTTTACGCCTTTTTTATGCAGAAAAAAAAACTTTTAGAAAATATTCCTTTAATTTATTACTTTTTCAAACTACATTTTTTCAAAGATTTCCTTCAAATATTTGAATTTAATAGAATCTTCCTAAACAGAGAGAGTTGATGTTCTTTATAAAAATATTTTTAGATAATATCCTAAAATGAAAAAAAAATCATACTATTTAATTTATTTTTATTGTATTGTTAAATATTACGTCCGCTTATGACGGGGTCTCATAGAAAACGCTAAAGATGCTACAGAAAACAACTTGATTTGTTTTCATTTGCGTTTTTTGCGAGACACGCCGAACGCTAGACGCTTTTGGTGGGGCCACTCCTATAAGCAGATTTCTGAAATATAATATATATTTCCTTCGGCGGCACGCCCGCTTTACCCGACCCCTGAGAGCGACCCGAAAGTACAGCGTAATAGACTCTTCAGTTGTCAACTTACAATTTGGTTAATGTCAAATTATATTTCCTAAACCTTAGGCTTTTGTTTAATTTGAACAAGTATTAAATTACAAAAATGCATATCGAGCACACTAACCTGTAGACAGCACAACAAATTGCATCATAGGTTGCATATGTATCATAAGTTGATACCTGAAGGTATGTCGACATTTGCCTGGTTTAGCATTGTTATCTGTTCAATTTTAATTTAAAAATAAATGCAGTCTTTCTTAAATTAGTTAAAAACAGCTTGTATAAAAAGTTTCAAATTTGACATGTGTATTTAGTAAATATATTTTAAAACTTCGCTATAAAATCAATAGCTAAGCCAATATTTAAAGTCCTCAAAATTTGCATTTGGTTTCCTATGTTTCCAATACCCGAACTTTATAGGTGACAATCTACAGGGTGTCCAAAAATTAAGAAAACCGTTTTTTTTTTCATTATATAGTAGTCTAAGAGCTTGCAACGTTTTCGAGAATGTATTTTAAGACGTCTGGCTCTTTGATATATCTTTTACTATGCTCTCTGGAACAGCATGCGGCCCGTCTGGCTGCCGATAACCGTTGCGTTCACTACTGCGCATCGGAAAAATATCCTATATTTTTTATTAATTTAGTCCTATAAATTCTAGTATTGAATATAAATCGAACATGTCTCCATAGCGCAGTGCGTAGAGTTTCCGACCACGAACAGATGATTCAGAGTTCGAATCCGGGTCAGGGCAAAGACTTTTTTATTTTATTTTCGTTTATATTCTGATAGTAAAATATTAAACAATTCTGGTAATTTAAAAAAATAAATATTTAATACTTTAATATCAGAATATAAACAAAAATAAAATAAAAAAGTCTTTGCCCTGACCCGGATTCGAACTCTGAATCATCTGTTCGTGGTCGGAAACTCTACGCACTGCGCTGTGGAGACATGTTCGATTTATATTCAGTACTAGAATTTAAATAACTAATAAAAATATAGGATCTTCTTTCAATGCGCAGTAGGGAACGCAACATTTACCGGCAGCAAGACGGGCCGCATGCTGTTCTAGAGAGCATAGTAAAAGATATATCAAAGAGCCAGACGTCTAAAAATACTTGTTTTTCCGACGTTGCTAGCTCTCGTAGTATAGCATGAGAGAAAATAACCATATTTTGTCACAGACTTCTTTAGTTCTTTACTTTTGTTGTTTTACTGTCAATAAGAAAAATTACATAATCAGATCTGTAGAATTGTATATCATTTACAAATGAATAAAAAAAAACATTCAAAAACAAAAAATACACAGAAAAGTGTTCTAAGCTTCAACCTTAGTGTATTATTAAAATCTAATATTATTGCTGTAGTTTGGTCAACGCTTTTATATATCATTAGATAGAAAATGTCCTAACGTTATTAGACATTATGTTTTATAGTAAAAAACATAACAAAAGGTTGAATTTACTAGATTATTAAATCGATGAAAGAACAAACACAAAAATAAAACTCAAAATATTGTTATTCTTAAAGGTTTGGGTATTGCTAAATTCAAAATTAAATTTATATATTATTTTTTTTTATAAAAATCCTTATTAAAGCTTAAAAACATTTCCTGTGATCCCTTACCTGTGTCCAGCATACAAGGTTTTCAAAATTTCCACACACTCATTTTAACGTTGTGATGTATGGTATAAAGTTTCAAAAAGTCTTAGAAATTAAAATCAACATCTTCAACAGGAGTGGTTTGAATTTTAAACACCCCGTATATACAGATCTGCAAAAACGATGGTTCAAGATTTAACAGAGCATAAGAAAACATTTTTTAACATACAAAAACTTGAATAAAGACATATTTAATATGCTCTAATTAAATTTTGACAATCCCTGAAAAAAATCCTCATTTTTTGTACTTCTAAATTGCCATTTATTTTTTTTCTTTTGAAAATTAGGGCCTTTGGCTAAATATATAAAAAATAGATCTTAAATTGCTTTTGTGTACATTCCTAACCACAACAAAATTCAAGCAAATGTTCTTCAGTGTCACACAATTTTGATGTATCTAAACAAGATTTTTCCCAAAGCTTTAAATTTTGCAAGAAACAGATTTTTCAAAATTTATTTTTGAAGTATGAACACTGGTTGACACTAAAATAAGATCACTTTAAAACAATTTCAAAAAAGAAACTATTTAGAGTGAAATAAAATTTCATATAAACTGGTTTTAGATTTTCTTTAGCCTCAGCTGAAAATGTTATGGTAGGAGTTTTATTTTTTTTCCAAAATCAACCTAAAATATTAATCAACTAGTAATTTCTTACTATAATAACTTTCAAAAAAGAAAATGGCTTTATATTTTGCAGAGGATCCATCTCTAATTTCCTTAAAATACGAATGAAATGAAAGGTGAAGCTTAAAAATATAGTTTTTAAAGCCTAAACGCTTAAAAAATCTCTTAATATTATAGGTACAAAACAGAATAAATTAGGGAAATAAATGTTTTAAAATAACAAAAACTTACGTAACTAAATAAGTGTTCCAGCTGTATTAGTATTTTCATACAAACGAGAACGTCTAAACACAGTTTAAAATAAATAACTTAAAACTAGAAATTTCTTATTGATAAAATCAGTTTTTTCTCAGTAAAATCATTAGTAGTTTAAAACTATTACAGACATTATTGCAAATTACTTAAAATAATAAGTAAAGAAAAATTACTTGGTCGTACTAAATCGTTTTGGTTACTTATATTGATAAAATTTCAACAATAATAAGTCTAAAAAATTATTTTTATCATTAATATATTGGCGCAGTCTGTAGGATCATCCTTATGCAATGTTATTTGTCTAGTATTTTTATATTTTCTGAAAAGTATAGCAATGCTGCCAAATTCAAACGCGATTAAATGCTTGAAAATTAAGAAACTTTTACTAGGTTGCCACACAAATCAATATGTCTATAGTGTTTATTATACTTTTTCCATGATATTAAATGATTACAATGAAAATATCCATAAGTTGCTTTGGAAAGCTCTGTCAATTTATATCTAAAGTTAAACGTTGAATGTCAGACTTTGAATAACAGATTAAATCTCTTACTCAGACAAATTTTACATCATTAATATATTGGCGCAGTCTGTAGGATCGTATATCTATACGTATTTTCCAATAGCTTTTATATTTCCTGAAAAGTATGGCAATAATACAACTTTGCTCAAAACATTTATTAGGTTTATTTTTTATTTTCGTTGTTGAACTCAAACTATTAATGATTTGTACTAAGAAAAAGACCGTATCTAAAAAACGAACTCATTTTTGTGTTGTAGACGATCGTTTGCATGCGTTTTTAGCCGGTCGGTTAGTAACTTAAAATAAAAACAAATAATATCAGTCGATCGGCTTAACTTGAGCCATTATTTTACCCTCGTACAGAGGTATTATATCGTTGTCGCTGCTGATTTCCTCCTGAATAACTTGGTTGCCAAGTTCTTCGCACACTGTTTTAAAGAAATACCTGCAAGAGAAGTAAACTTTGTAGGTTGGTTGGATTATGGGAAGAGAAAAAGTAAAAAAATGGTGTGTACTATGTGCGCATAATTCAAGTGAAACTTTTTACTAACAGCTATTAAACTGAAGGATTTGAATGATATATATTTTTTATGAATTTTCAAAAAAATTAGAGTTAATATAAAACCGTATACTATTCTAGCTTTATAATTTTATGTTTTTTTAATTTTTATTAATTTTTTAAATTTTATCACCTGGCCGGATAGCCCTGGCAGCTGTGGCCATTAAACCAAAATACTACTACACCTATATCTCTGACTACTACTAACTGCTACTAACCCAAGGACTGTATATTCTAAAGGACTATTCGATCGCGTCAAATCGCCGCTGTCGTAGTGGCTGTGGAATGCTACGTCATGCGCTGACCAGCGCTCCACAGTGCGGCGGATGGTTATTCTAGCGGGACAAAATCTCAAGAGCAATGTTTGGGACTTAAAATCTAAGAACGTAGCAAATGGTCTAATATATAGCAACTATATGGTTCAATTTATTTATTTATTAACAACTTAATTTATTAATAAATAAATACAAGATAATAAAACTATGATATTATTCGTACATGACACACAAAAACCGTATTGTAAACTATTGCCAAATACATAAAATTATGATATCAAAAAACTCTTTAGCAGTTTTTTTTTAATTAATTTGTAACCTTGTGACACCCTCTATAATATATTTTAAAAAAATATATTTTATTTGGAAAATAATAAATAAGATAGATATTTTAATTTTAATTTTAACACTCGGTAATTGTAAATTCATATATAGTAAGTATCTAAGACAATTTTTTAAACTCAGTGCCTTTTGATGGAGTTGTTTTGTTTTTATACTATCCGACTGAAATGAATCTTTTTGGGCATTCACCTGTTAAGATTGAACTCCCTGTGACTGTGACTACCTGTGTTGGTAACTATTGGTAACTCAAAAGATCTACATCATTCAATATATCGATATTTGAAAAAAAGTGAAAGTTTGATATCTGCAGAACAAAGGCACGAAGGATTTTAACAAATAATATATGTACAGTAGAAAAGTACATACCTTTGGCAATCTTCAACATAATTTGGCTTTCTAATAAAATGTATAAGCACTTGTAAATATTTTGTTTTCGTATGATCTCTGCCTTGCTGAGCAGAAAACGACCAAATTTGGTTGATAAAAATGTATCGAAATACAAAGAATATTCAAGCATTTTTGTATCAATTGGAATGTCTACTATTTATTCTTATCAGTATACATTTTTTGGCTTATTTCTAACCAAACGCTTTTGTCCCGCTAAATTTATCTTCCAACGCACTGTGCGCTCGTCCGTCAAATGCAAAAATAACTGTCTAAAATCTTTAGCGCCAACTTCAACTCGGTCAGTAGATGACGTAAAAAACTGACAGTGCAGGAAGATAGGAATCGAACTATCCTTATCTCTATAGTATCCTTGCTACTAACCAACAATTTATTTTGCGTGGTCTGTGGTCTGTTTTGTTTAAATATTTTGTTCATTATTCATGTTGGGATTTATTTTTAAATTAATGTTAATCGTTAGGCAAATAGAATATTATTTTATATAACCAAATTGTCAGTCTAAATTACTGTCTTTTTTAGACAGATGTCACTTGTCCTGTCATTATTCAATTCATTATTCGAATTCTCAGAATGTTGTTAACAAAAGTTTCATCTTAAAATAAAATTTTAATCAATCACAATTGTTTATCTCCATCATTTACCGGATTAATAATACAGAAATTACAGTTCAATTACAAACAATTTATTATTTATAGTGATTTACAGTAATTATATTAAACTATACGAATATACTCGTTGATTATTGGTTTGAAATAAATATGACAGTGTCCTCCAATGAAAATGAGAGTTACTAACTCTAAATTCTAATTCTGAGGTAGCAAATGAGCTAAATGCTTTACCTAGACCGTTATTCAGAAGCTACAAACCTATCGATGAAAATATGCATGAAAATTTACTTCCTAGCAAACAACCAGACCATTGGTACACATCAAGGTTGGTACAATATCAAGTTTATTATAGTGATTTTCTTAGCTGCGTATGGCACAGATTATTTTTATAGCGGTGTTAAATTGTTTTACAAAGGGGTAGATTTACCCTGAATGGGGTAGCTGTGGTAACACCGAAAAAAGAAGTTTCATTTCAATCAAGTATTTTAAGTTAACGTCTCATTTTTGCTGCTAAATATAGTATGCGATACAAAGTAATCTTACCTGTAATTTCCTTTTTTTGGCAAGTAATCCTTGAACTGCTTCAAGGTAATCTGCGACCCGGGTATCTTCGTCCGGTAAGGGAACTGTTCGTCGCAGAACGAGAAAACCACCGTGGTCAGTTCTTCGGCGGTCGTCGCTTGCGTGATCGGCAGGCTAGGCCTCTGCGCCCTCTGGGACTTCCTGAGAGTGGACTGGCTACTCTGCGTGAGGTCAGGATAATGTCGATTGGAAGACGACCTGAAAAAATAGACAAACGTTTTTTTTTTCATTGAAAGCTTCACTCAGAAAGAGGAATTAGTGTGGTCAATTATACTTCATGCTTAAAAGTGTACGATCATTCACCAAGCAACAGTTTGCTCTAGTCACTAGTCAGTTATATCTATAGAAAAAGCCTAATAATTAGCTTATGAACTTTGAATAAGAAGACTAAGGAAGGAGCATATCAAAAATCTTAGGTACACCGCGATGGGCCTCAAATATGGCCGACTTAAATTCCGGTTTATCAGTGTCGTTCTAATTTTATTTAAAAAATGTAAAACTATGATGTAGGGTAGACGTGGGGTAGACTCAATAATTTGTTGTTTTATTTTACGTTGTGAATAAATGTTGGTAGTTATTAAAATTGTTATAAAAATATATAATTCTAATAAAAATAAATAAGTTATAATAATTATTTATTAACACTAACATCCGATACGCTACTGAAGCAGGTAAGTCAAACTGACGTATCTAAATTCTTTGACATCTAATCTTTGACAAGTAATAAATAAAAGCTAAAATTCAAGAAAAATATATAATGTAGTTAATTTAAGTGAATTTCATAAATGATCGGTTTACTACACGTATGTATATTATATAGTTACTTACTAGCGAAAAGTTGTTCCATTATTTCACTCGATTTTTGCCGAGATCTACCGCACGCTACACAACCAACTATTTTAGAGTCTTTTTCGATTAATCGCGATAGTGTCACTGTTAATTTAAGTGCTGCCACAATTTCCATCTAGATTTACTACCTTTATACAACTATCAGTAGTAGAATAAATAATAAATAACATAAAATAAGCTCCGTAAAGACTGACAAATCCACAAAATTTCAAATCAAATTCAAATGTGTCAAATGAATCGGCAAACAGAACTGTCAAGGATCCCCACCCTAGAGTGCTTTTATGGCGCTTTTTCCGCCCACCATGCATGAATTCATGGATAGCATTATGCTCCTTCCTTAGTCTTCTTATTCAAAGCTTATGAACAATAACATTTTCTTTTTAATCACAATTTCTCTTGACGGATGAAAATGAAAGGCATTAGTCACAAATTTTGAAGTAAATTAGTGGCAACTACTAACTGAGAATTAAGCTTCAGTCAGAACCTGGCAATTAGTGGAATAATTTAGTGGTTTCAATTAGTAGAAAAAGTTATCAAGTTTTTGACATTTCCACTAATTATACTTCAAAATTTGCGACAAATGTCATTTTGGCCTTTGATTATCTTCCGTCAAGAGAAATTGTGGTTAGAAATCAAAAGTTGATTGTTTTATAAGCTAAATATTAGGCTTTCTCTATGGATACAACTGACTAATGCAAGCTGTTGCTAGGATCTTCTACTAATTTTAATTGTGTTTTTAACATTGTGAATGATCGTGAACTAAAAAGTATAAAATGTAATTGAAACCACTAACTGCGAGGTTCTGAATGAAGCTTTACTACCACTAACAACTTTTATGCTAATTAAAACCAATAATTTGTTCCACTAATTTTAATTAAAGACAATGAAAGTCCGAAATTCACTTAATATTGTTGCGGACCCATGTGGACTCGGCATAACCTAACTAACTAATATGTTCCGCCCCCATATGACTTTAATATCGCATTAAAGAATAGACACCGTCATGATTCATTTGAACGTTCGAGAACAATCGAGTTTCACTGGAATGGAGGAGTACATACGAGAACATTCTAAACCTTCTCTATGCACCTAATGATCTAACGTCTAACGGATTATTCGAGAACTGTTTAGCTGTGGGTATACCGTGCTGGCAACTGTTACTTTTGGGTCGGCATTTACATGGGTGGAAGTAAATCGCATAGGAATCTTATTAAGTCGGAGTGAGAGAAATGCGACCGACCGAGGCGACGCGCGACGGTGTGCTGTTGCGGCGTTGCCAATACGCCTTTCCCTATTAAGTAAAGTAAAATCACGATCGCAAACCGCTTATTTTTAAAAGACTTTTTTTTCAAGAGATAACTAGATAAAATCATTAGACATGGTTCTGAGCATCTGAAATGGAATTGTAAGGATATCGTTAGGGTGTCATTTTTTTATAACGAGAAAACGCCAGTAATCGCGAAAATTTAAAAACTCAACTTTTTTAACAGGCCATAACAGGCCAACACATAACAGGCCATAACTCAAGAACCACTTTAGATATTGAACCTTTTTTTTATTTTCAAGATCGGATATTTTACAATATGTTTACATAAGAAAAATTCGATAAGGAGCTTTTAGAGCATAGCAATTTTCAGCAATCGTGTAATTTTTTTATTGATAAAGATTTTCACATACTGTCTACAAAGAAAATACAGCAGAAAAAACCAAACAAAGTTCTTGGAAAAAACTACAATCTATTATTTCTAATAGATTTCGAGATATCGATTTTTGAATTCAGAGTTCTAATAGCGCGACCACTATCGAACACCCATTCAATTCCACTTATTTTTACCAAAAATGCAAGTGTTTCTAGCTTGCCCTTAAAAAAAATCAAGCTATAGGGAAAATTACAACGATTCGTTAATAAATGAACAAATTAAGTATCACGAAACGTAATTAAATCGTGAAGCTGTACGCATGACGTACACCTTTCCCTAGAACTTTAAGTACTGACAGAGGTATTGATTGGGTCGACCGGTCAACTGCGAGAAATCTGCTTATCCCCTTCCACGTCTCTTAGCGATGTGCACAGTTTCTCGGTTTATTTCATATGTTTAGCAACGTGTTTATTGTTCTCTCTTTGTTCAGTACATTATAAACGCATTGTACTCTTCTTACATACGGAAATCTCGACCCAAGACTAACCTTTGCCAGCCCTTAGTATAAGCCGACGCCTGGGGCCTGAGGAGGACAGAAATAAATAGACGAGAACAGTTGCCGCGCTAAATTCAAAATAAATTCTTTCTAGATAAATAGTTATAAATAGTTTGTAAATAGTCTGTTATCGTTATTGTTTTTGTTACATAGTGTAGAATAAATTGTGTTTAAATAAATTGTGACTTTCTATCCACACGGAACCGATGAAAAACGTAACAATATCTACCTCTACAACATTACAAGAATTTTCTATAAATAATTTATAGAAAATAATTAATTATTTATAGTTAAGTTAACTCAAAACAACTCAATATACCTGGATTTTTTCCTAACATCATCCTCCAGCCTTCTTCTCGCTTCCTCTAGCTGCGCCACTGTGTTGGGAATGGGCAAAGGCGGCATGGATGGATCAGCAACAAATGGTTGCGCAGGACTTACGGTGGCACCAGTAACGCTATTCCTCTCCACGGAACTAGACCTCGATCCAAAACCTGTAAAAAAGCATGACTTTAATTTAAACTGCATAGTACAGTAATAACAGGGTACTAAAAGGGGTAAATTAAGTAAAGTTAAAATAGAAAAAAGTAGAAAAATTAACAGTTGGCGCAGTGTGTGGGATAAAGAGTATAAATGTTTTTAAAAACTGAACTTTTAATGCAAAACATTCCCCGAAATGTAGCAGATGAGTTAGAAGTTAGCACTGCCTATAGTATTAAGAATAAAATCGTCTAAATGAAGCTTTAATCACTTAACACGATGTTTTTTTGATGATTTTTTATTACATTGCTTCAGTGTCATTTCCAGAGAATGTTAATTCAATTAATAAAATCAAAAAATCTGTCGATTATTTAGTAAACGTAGTAAGTAGGTATATTGGCGCAGTCGATAGGATCAACAATAAATAACCTTACCTTTCTTATGCCTATTTGAAATGGGAGACGTCGCGCTACTGGTCCTGTAACTACTGCTACGCTGTTTGATGGACATGTCGTTGTGACCCGACATCAACCAAGTCAAAACGCGGCTATCTTTCGACATGGCCACCGAAGGTACAGAGTCCGATACAACCGATACACCACTATCCGTAAGATCGGGTACCGCCTTTTTTGAGGAAGACCTGTAAAGTGAGAATAATAAGAATTATATAAAAATCGGTATATAAAAAACAAATATACAATCAAAAAATAAAATGCAACAATATAACAAACTAAATACAACGATACAGAAGAATATATATTTGGGAAAACTAAACTCAGCTCAGGATCTCTACTACCAGAAATCAACAAAGCAAGTCAAGCTCAAACACTCACACGGCACGTGGGGCGCTTATGGGCCCAAAGATATAAGTATTTGTTTCTGGTGTTTATCAACGACATTGCAAATCTAGACATTAGCGCATAAAATCTGCCTATTTGCGGACAATACTAGTTTCACTTGGAGCGGCCCAGATGTTACGGTACTATATAATACTATATCCAGTATTATATAGCAGCACCAATTTAACTTTTTAAACTAAATTCAACTTTTACACTGAACTATATACAAGTAATCACCAACAAACATACAACAGTCAACAACGTCTGTGCAAAAAGATAGTTAACCAGGGATCAGAGGATATACCGGAAATAACTACAGAAGAAATCAGAAACTCTTTAAAAGAAATGAAAAATAACAAAGCCCCGGGCGAGGACGGCATAGTGATTCAGGCTGTAAAACTCGGAGGAGGAACACTATTAAAATGGATTAAAGACTTATTTAATCTATGCCTTGAAAAAGGAGTAATCCCGTCTCAATGGAACAACGCCATAACGATACTTCTCCATAAAAAGGGCGATATCACCGAGCTTGAAAATTATAGACCAATAAGCCTTCTTTGTCACTTGTATAAGCTGTTTACCAAAATCATTGCCAAACGTCTCGAACGTAAACTAGATTTCTATCAACCAAGAGAACAGGCAGGCTTTAGGAAAGGTTATGGAACAAACGATCATCTTCAAGTAATTAAAGTCCTGATAGAAAAATCTGTGGAATACAACAGGCCCCTAGCATTGGTGTTCGTTGATTTCCAGAAAGCATTTGACACATAGAATTAACATCAATAATAGCAGCATTGGAGCAGGGAAGAGTAGATTATAGGTATACAAGGCTTATAGAATACATATATAGTAATGCCACCAACTGTAAAACTTCACGAAACAACAGATAAAATTGAGGTAGGCAGAGGAGTTCGACAAGGGGATACTATTTCGCCTAAAGTTTTTACAGCTGTCCTTGAATACGCAATGAAATCACTCTCTTGGGAGAATAGGGGCATAAATATCGATGGTGAAAGGTTGACACATCTATTCGCAGATAACATCGTCCTTGTCTCACATAACATCGGAGATTAAAGCAGATGCTCGAAGAATTAGTGCAGGCCTCATTAAAAGTCGGTCTCCGTTTAAATACGAGTAAAACGCAAATAATGACAAACTTAGTGCTGACACAGAACATCAGAATAAGTGACGCCGACATAAAAGAAACACATATATACAAATATCTCGGGCACGAAATACAAATCGGAAAGAACAACCAAACACACGAGATACAGCGCAGAATAGGTTTGGGTTAGGCTGCTTTTGGCAAACTGCGGGAGACCTTTAAAAGTGATATACCTATATGCTTGAAGAGGAAAGTTTATGAACAATGCGTCTTGCCGGTAATTACATATGGAGCGGAAACTCTAACATTAACGAAAAAGTCAGCAGAAAGTTTAAGAGTAGCCCAGAGAGCCATGGAGAGAGCCATGCTTGGAATAACTAAAAGAGACAAAATTCCTAATAACACTATCAGACAAAAAACCAAAATTAAAGACATAGTGGAACACGTAACTCGAATGAAATGGAGATGGGCAGGTCATGTGGCGAGAACATCTAAAGATAGGTGGACTAGAAGATTGTTAGAATGGCGACCTCGAGCAGATAAACGTAGCAGAGGCAGACCACCGACACGCTGGACCGATGATGTAAAGAGGATTGCTGGAAATTGGATGATGACGGCCCAAAATCGAGAGACATGGAGAAATATGGAGGAGGCCTACGTTCAGCAGTGGACAACGATGGCTACATGATGATGATGATGATGATAGCAGCACCATTAAATCTTGGTGCGATACTAATCTCCTATGCCTCAACCTATCAAAAACTAAAGTTTTGTCATATAAAAGTACCCAGATATACAACCTTTTGTACTTAATAACACCACTATTAACGTCGTGGACTCTGTGAAATTCTTAGGACTTGTTGTAGACAACTCGTTAAAATAGGACTTGCACATCGAAGCTTTATCAAAGAAACTAAGCGCTGCCTGTTTTGCGCTAATATCAGTTTCTAAAGAACTTAATTTAACAACCTCTAGAATAGTCTATTATGCCCTTTTTGAGTCGCATCTTCATTATGCCCTTCCATTCTGAGGTACTTGCTGCGCAACAAAATTTGATCGTATTTTCAAACTTCAAAAGAGAGCAGTTAAACTAAACCGTAGAACTCACAGCCAGAATTTCTTTTAAAATTTCAAAATATTGACTCTTCCTTCTTTATTCATTTTTGAATCCGTTTGCTTAATTCGCAAGCACATATCTGCTATTCCCGAAAGGCCATCTCACAACTATCCACTTAGGAATGCGGAACACGATCTTTATCTGCCAACCCCGAGCTCAGAACTAGTTAAAGGCTCAATACTCTACAATGCCAAAAAAATGTACAATCATCTACCTTTGAATATCAAGTCGCTTTCATTCTTTCCCGCATTTCGGAACGCTCTGAAATCATACTTATTGGAGAGAGCCCTATATGCGGTAAACGACTTTTTTGTTGATGTTTAATCATGGACAATTTTAAATTTTAAAATTTTGATCACCTCACACACTGGCTAAAAGTCTAGAATTTAATATTTTATGACTCTTAAATGATTATATTCATTTACAATTTTCCTATTGTAAAATTTTATTGATACGCCTTTTTTTGTGTTGTGCAATGTCCATGTATTAATGTAGTAATTTTAATGACGCAATTTTTTTTGAATTGTCTGATTTGTATTGTGTGATATTTTTTACGATTTGTATATTTTTTGTGTTTTTGTTTGTTTTGTAAATGCTTTGTCGATGAAGCTATTTTGTTTTTTTGTACAATAAAGAGTTATTTATTATTATTATTAAAGGTATCGGCGAGACTCGTCTGGGAATGCCTAGGTAAACAGGGAGCTCTGGCATAAAGGAACAGAATTAAATTATTTTGGATGCCGAGCCACAGCGGCATCAAAGGCAACGAAAAGCCGATGAGCTAGCTAGGCAAAGATCATCGGCATCCTATCTTGGTCCAGAGCCAGTACTGGGAATACTCAAATATATGGCCGTAGTGTATGTACTAAAACTCGGCATCAGGGAAAAGCAGAATGTCCACTGAAGAAACAGACAGGGACAGAGGCACAGCAAGGCTTTTATCCAAGGACCTAGCTCTAAAACCACAAAAGAACTGCTAATGCTTAGCAGGAATAAAGTGCGGATTATAACAGGCCTCTTGACAGCACGCATGGCTGTCAAGTGTTACCTGAACAAGCTCAACCTGTATCAAGGAAGTCTTTGCTGCAGACTCTGCGATAAAGATCCTGAAACAGCGGAGCACATAATATGTCACTGCGAGGCTCTGGATCGTAAGCGACATTTTTTATTCGGGATAGCTAGGCTAGAACCGAAGGAACTGTGCTCTCATCCTATCAAAGACTTGCATAAGTTAGTGCAGGGTACAAGGGATAGAAGAATGGGTGCAGATGTAAAAAAGGAACAAACACAACAGGCCTCCCAGGTCGCAGTGTTTCCGGCAGAGGACGACCCCTTGTTATTGAAAAAAAAACTAAAATGGGACCATGATATTAGGAAATTAGCACGGATAACTTGGGTCCGCATAATCAATAATAGATTACAAAGAGGTTATCTAAATACGTGAGTGAGGCTACATCATAATCGAAAATCGTTGAATAAAAAATATAAATACCTTCTTCCAACGCCTCCACGAAGGAATCGATCATCCTGGTACTCCGGCATGCTTTTTGACTTCACCATTCCCATTCGATGTTCCGAACCTTCGGCAAAATCATGGACGTTACCAGAATCGCAACTGAAAATGGACCCATCCTTTCTTCGACGTGAACTCTGACTATGACTAAATGGAAAATAAATTAAAATCAGATTCATCGCTAATAAGGTTGCACAAAATAACTCACCGTGTCCTGTGAGGCGTGGTGATACCTGGAGACCTGCCAGGCGTATCGGGAAACACGAGCGAGACGTGATCGTCTAGAATGGATTGATCATTTTCGTCGTCCAGTAGAAGCTTTTCTCTGATGTTCTGATTGTTTATTGAGGCTAACGTATCGCTCTGGAAAAAAATAAAATCATAATTAAATTAAATAAAAACAACACAGTTCATCAACGCAACACAATTCAATAAAAACAGCATCAGTTAAAATAGCCACTAGTTTCGGAGCTAAATAACTAAAATCAATTGATATAAAACATAGACATGTTTAGAAGATAGACTAAACATATGCCGCGTTGACAAGCCTCTTTCTTGGGCGGGTATTTACATGTGTGGAAGTAAATTGTTCTAGGAGCTAAGTCGGGGAGAGAAAAATGCGACGGTGTTTGTACCCTGTGCTGTTGCGTTGTCATCATTAGATATGATTGTGACAAATCGAGTGATATTTATAAACATCGCTAAAACATAGACAATACTATACCGTGCTGGCAACTGTTACTTTTTGGTTGGTATTTACATGTGTGGAAGTAAATCGCATAGGGGCTCTTATTAAGTCGGAGTGAGAGAAATGCGACGGCGTGCTGTTGCGGCGTTGCCGGTATGCCTTTCCCTATCAAGTAAAGTAAAATCACGATCACAAACCGCTTATTTTTAAGACTTTTTTTTCGAAAAGATAACTAGATAAAATCATTAGATATGTTTCTGATCATCTGAAATGGAATTTTAAGGATATCGTTAGGGTATCCATTTTTTTAAAACGAGAAAACGTCAGTAATCGCGATAATTTAAAAATTCAACTTTTTAACACATAACACGCCATAACTTAAGAACCACTTTAGAAACTTTTTTTTATTTTGAAGATCGGATCTTTTACAATATGTTTAAATAAGAAAAATTTGACAAGGTTGCTCTTTTCCATTCAAAATTTTTAAATAACCCATCCATTTACTTTTAGTGCATAGCAATTTTCAGCAATCGTGTAACTTTTTTATTTATAAAGATTTTCACATACGACGAAAATATAGCAGAAGTATTAAGAAAGTTTTTGAAAAAAACTACAATAATTTATTTCTAATAGATTTCGAGATATTAATTTTTGAATTCAGAGTTCTAATAGCGCAATCACTGTCGAACACTAACTCAATTCCACTTATTTTTACCAAAAATGCAAGTGTTTCTAACTTGCACTTAAAAATTTTTAAGCTATAGGGAAAATTACAAGAACTCGTTAATAAATAAACAAATAAAATGTCATAAGACAATCGTAAAACTGAACGCATGATGTACGCCTTTCCCTAGAACTTTAAGTACTGACAGAGGTACTGATTGGGTCGACCGGTCAATTGCGACAAATCTGATATATCCCCTTCCACATCTCTTAGCAATGTGTACAGTTTCTCGGTTTATTTCATACGTTTGGAAACGTGTTTACAGTTCTCTCTTTGTTCAGTACATTATAAACGCATTGTAGGTACTCGTCTTACATACGGAAATCTCGACCCAAGACGCATAGCCCTTTGCCAGCCCTTAGTATACTACTGCTATAGAGTTATTTTTAACCAATACTTACATCTTTTAACTTCTTCTCTAAGAGTTCGTGGGCATCCTGTTGTTTTTTGACAGCCTCTAATTTTTCAGTAAGTATAGCGGCAAACTGCATAGGATCCATCGGCTGACACTGTACTTTATCAACCCTCTGCGTCCTAGGGATCACTATTTGGTTCATTTGCGATTCTCTATTTAATGCCGCTTGTCGCCTAGTCCTTCTGACAGCTGATCTCCCATCGCTAAAATCATATTTATTGATTTTTTTTCAATTTAAACTAGTATAGTAAAAATTATAGGACTTGCCTTTGATTAGACGCTTAATATAATATACCAATCTAGTCATTGTAAAAGCGTGGTCTGGATTTTAACGTGTAAGACAGTGATGTAGACAGCGTAATGGAAAATCAAGTGTATTAACAAGAGATAAAGATATGGCTGATATATTTCTTCTATGCGGTATTGCCGAATTTTACATCAAAATTTCAAAGCGCACGAGTAGACGTTTATGAAAAATGTGGCATAGGGTCGGAATTTTATTTTTCATAATTAGTTAGTAATTTTACTACAGCTGTAATATAATTAGCTTAGATATATTATTTTCATTTCAGTAGTGTACATGAAAGTTATTAAAATAGTTTATTTTTTCTACACACATCTTCCTACACTCGTAAAAACCAGCAACACTGTATTCCGCTTTTTATTTTGTCTCTCTGTCTGTTAACCTGTCATTTATATTTATATCTATCGCATGTATTAAATTTGCGATAACTACAAACCACGCAAATGAAGTGTCCAGGACGGTATAGTGGTATAAATATACTTAGCCAAAAGGAATAAGTACGTACTCTGGTAGGTACTGTTTTGGAGTCCCTTATTTAAAACTCTTAAAATTATATCTGAAATTTGTACCAAATCAGCAGTTACCATTTATATCTTAATGTGTATCTCTTCAAAGGAGCCGAAGTCTGACGACACCTTTGTATGTCACTTTGTCAACTATTTTTATTAAGTCGTCTGTAAGTTTTGTAATCTTTGTAATCCATCCACTTCATTTTTTGTTTAATAAATACTTATAACGTAAACACTACAAAGAGTTTTTATTTAACAAAAACATATTAACTTGAATGAATATACATTAATCTTTTTTATTTAACCTATTTTAAACCTTTAGTTTTTTTGTGCCACATCGCTACTTTTTATTAAGTACAATTAGCAATATTTTAGGCTAGCTTTATAGGTTAAAATCCAGACCACCGATTTAAGATGACTAGGTCTGTATATTTTAATTAGTTCATATAATTCTTTCGTTACCACTTGGTATACAAAAACTCACTGTGAATACCCACGATTACAAAATTCATTTCTATATGTTAAAAAAAATAAGTACATATCAGTATTACAGAGGTCAGAAATTTGTCTAACGATACTTGTTTGTAAATATAACAATAATAAATAATCTAATAATAAATATTCAACTAGTCGTTAATATCTAAATATTAGTTGTAATAAATACCCAATAAATATTTCTATTAATTTTGTTAACTCAATGTTTACATAATTTAATTTAATAATTAATATCAATCAAGTTTTTTTTAATATCATTGCCAATTAATCTAGTATACCTTTTTTAGAAAATACATTGCAAATATTAATACAAAAAATTAAACGCATACAAAAGTGTAATGTTTGCATGTTTACTAATAAAAACTACATTAGGCATAACTAAATTTAAGCTTCAAAACAACATGCATTAAAATTAGTAAAAAATTAAATTAAATTAACAAATGATAAAAAGAGCAGCATGCTTAGTAATACAATACCTTTTCGATTTAGTATAATAGTAGTACGCTATATCACTGTGTTAAAAATAAATCTATGTACTTTTGATCAAAACCGTTGAACTACTGGAGCTGAGATTTATTGTTCAATTAACTTATCTGATATTGAGATTATTAAACGTGATAATAATCCTTTAATAACTTATAATGCAGTTAGTCAACAAAATTGCAAAGTAGGAGTGATATATACTTTTCATGAATGTCTCTATATTTAATCATAAAGATATCTAGTATTTTTCTATTTAGATATTTAGTTTCAATTATCAATCTTAAGGTTGTGTGCCGGTGTTTAATTAGTAACCACTCCATATTGGACCATTTTATAAAAATGATAAAACTTATACAATGTCTTATTTAAAATATTTAACATACAGAGTAATCAGCTCCCTGTTAAAAAAATGCTCTCTATTAGGTTTCTAGTCTGAGATTTTCACACCATTATTTTTTTATAAAATTATACTGGCCTATATTAAAGTGGGATATAAGTGTAGTGCATATTTTAAAAATATTTTGCCAATACGCAGGTTGATTCAAATATATTTTGAAATAGGGTTCAGAACCGGGAAATCCCGGTTCTTTTGACACATCAGACTCGGCATTATTAATTCCCGGTTCTTTCGGTACTTTCGGGACTCGGTAATAACAATTGAAGATATTTTTTGTTACGTGCGAAAGACTTTTGATACTATCTAGCGGTCGAAATCAAATTCTTCTAGATAAGTAATGATAGCTATTTCTTATTGTTCTTGCTTCTTTTCTCTTTTGAAGTTCCTATAAGATTTATTATGTTATGTTTTAATAGATATTAGCATTTTTAATTCAATATTTTAAGGCTTTTGTCTCAAATTCAGTTAAGGTTAATGTTGTTTGATGTGAAATATAAGTTACCGTTACTTTTTATTATGTGAAATATAAGTTACCGATTACTTAATAATTTGATATTATTTTCATTAAAAATCTCAGTTTTTTATCCGTTTTACTTTGAAAAACCATCCCTGGTTTTCAAATAATTGATGAAGTGCACCACCATTGAACAAAAATTAGTCAGTACCAATAGTACCCAAAAAACCGGGAAATCCCGGTTCCTAAGAGGTACGGTACCGAAATTCCCGGTTCCGAAAAACGGTTCCGGTTCCGGAAACCCTATTTTGAAACAATTAAAAACGTTTTATATTTTTAAATGGAATGTGTAACAAATAAAACATTCTACGGTCTCTTGCCAGTATAGTAGTCTAACCTAACCTAACCTGACCATCCAAAGGTGTTGTTGCGTATTAGTAGATTCTGAAACTCTTTTTTATCACATGTATAACCCGTTATTATTATTATCTCTTTTATTTCACTATTGTATTTGGCGCCCTATTATATTTGGCGCCCAACGTGGGGCAAGTCAGAATTGACGAATCGATAAAAATATAGATTTTAAAAGAGATAACGTCGGCAATTTCGACTCTTCCAAGCCCATCTGAACATTCGAAAATATTTAGGATCCTGAAATTATATTATTACGATTGTCTGATTATTATAATTAGTCAGTACCAATAGTACCCAAAAAAACGGGAAATCCCGGTTCCTAAGAGGTGCGGTACCGAAATTCCCGGTTCCGAAAAACAGTTCCGGTTCCGGAAACCCTATTTTGAACAATTAAAAAAGTTTTATATTTTTAAATGGAATGTGTAACAAATAAAACATTCTACCGTCTCTTGCCAGTATAGTAGTCTAACCTAACCTAACCTGACCATCCAAAGGTGTTGTTGCGTATTAGTAGATTCTGAAACTCTTTTTTATCACATGTATAACCCGTTATTATTATTATCTCTTTTATTTCACTATTGTATTTGGCGCCCTATTATATTTGGCGCCCAACGTGGGGCAAGTCAGAATTGACGAATCGATAAAAATATAGATTTTAAAAAAGATAACGTCGGCAATTTCGACTCTTCCAAGCCCATCTGAACATTTGAAAATATTCAGGGTCCTGAAATTATATTATTACGATTGTCTGTATACTTACACTGAACTGTCAGTTAGCGACATGGTATCCGACTCCGTCCTGGCATCCGAATGACTACTGAGACTGTGCAGTTCGCTATCCTGGCGCGAGACTGGATTGTACGAACTGTAGGCAGCATGCACGCCTAGTCCGGCGCGATAAACGAACATACTATTCGCACGCCAAAAATAAACAGAAAATCAAATACGTAACGAAAGAAAATCAAATAAAAATAAGGCGAGTACGCGATTTGAAAAAGAGAATACCTTAAGCTCATTTTTCAATATCAAATATGTAAGTAGGTAGCTCTAATATAGGGTGGACCAATTTTTAATACCGGGAATTTTACAAATTCGATTTATATAAAGACAGATCATCAGAACGTCAAGGTTAAAGAAATGTATCTGTGAAAAAAATAAATAAATTTGTGTTTTTTGACAAATATGTAATCTGTGCAGAAAAGTTAACTGAGAGGTTAAAACCCAGAGATTCTGTTTGCAGCATATTTTGCAGTTACTACTTAAAATGTCTTTATCACGTATATCTTTATCATGTCACGATCTCTATATCTATTTTCTTTTTCAAATCGCATTTTTCTCTTTGTACTACAAAATAAAGAACTATGCAAGCTGAAAAACAGCCGCAAAGCATGGTAAAAATCAAACTTATTTAATTCTTACTTGGCAAAAGTTTCCGATTTTGATCGGTCTACCGCTCGCCGACTTTGAGACATGAGCAGCACATCTTTGGTTAATCTTACTGGAGGACCACCTATGTTAGGTGTATGGTATCCCGTACTCATAGTTCCTGTTCAAAAGAAAAACTAAATTAAACGGACCATGTAATAAAATAATATACAGGGTATCCCATTTAAAAAAAAAACATAAGTTTGACTCCTATTTAAAAAATGACAGCTTCCAGCGAAAATCTAGTTACGCCACTGAATTCTACGTGGAAAACTCTATAGAATTCAGTTTTCGCCTTTTCGATAAGTTATAAGATAACTTATACTGGGTGCGTCTAAAAAGTGGCTCACCCCTACAACTTTTTTAATTTTTCAGATAAAAAAATGAGATTTGGTACGTTAGTACATGACATAAATTAGGATTGATTGACGTATTCAACTGTTTTTGGTCACTTCCTGTTTCACCGAAAATGACCAAAACTTTTGATTTATAAAATTTTTGAAATGGCACTCTCGGTATTTTTTTACTTTATCCGATAGAAAATGACGTTCTGAATAGAATGACATATCATATGTCAACTTTTGACATTCTCGCTTAAAAAATCCTATTTTAAAATTCAATCTAGAGTGGTTATGTTAAAAACACTAATTCATAATCAAGGAGCCTTGGAAAAATAGATTTGTTCGTCTAATGTTTTTAGTGTCTTGTCCTGGCCAGTTAGAAAATGCCCAAATCGTATTTTTAATCATATCTCAATTTTTTCAAATGGAACGAGGGTGGCTCATTAGCATATTTAGAAAAAGCATTTTTTTCGAATAATTTGATACCACACACTTGGTATTTCGAGTCAAATTTTCGTTACAAACCGCAAGTTATAATTTCAAATCAACCATAAATATGCCAAAACGAAAGTTGATATATGATGTCATTCTATTTAGAGTGTCATTTTCTATCGAATAAAGTAAAAAAATACCGAGGGTGTCATTTAAAAATCAAAAGTTGTAGTCATTTCCGGTGAAACAGGAAGTGACCGAAAACAATTGAATACGTCAATCAATCCTAATTTATGTCATATACTAACATACCAAATCTCGTGTTTTAACTGAAAAAATAAAAAAAGTTATAGGGGTGAGCTACAAAGGAGGTCGAAAAATTCAACATTTTCAAATTCGTCTTGTATTACAGGAACTAAAAGGGCTAGAACAAATCTGTGTAGCATCTTTAGCTTCATAAAAAAATAGCACATTAATGTGAAAACCGCATCTTTGTACCTCTACGCATAAGCGAGAAATCCTGTAAAACACACGAAAATAGGACACCCTGTACACTAAAGGGGAAGTACGAAACAATTTGCCAATCTAATTCCTGAAAAAAAAACGCGTATTAAAGATCGCGCACACTATACCTACACGGACCAGTACGTACCAGCACAGCACAAACCTGCATCCTGCATGACGTCGCACACTTTACCGCCACAGACCAGCAACATAAGCGAGAGTTTCGAAAAAAGTACAGTTGTCAAGGCTCAACTACTAGAGCGTGCAACATAGAAGTATTGAAAATGAGTAGTTCAGACGAAGAAATTATTATTTTAGCCATGTTGTGTGAAGAAGAGGAGGAAGAGAAGGAAGCTAAGAAAAACAGAAGATTTTGGGTTCACCCTATAAATCAAAAGAGAAAGCAATATGGCGAATTTCATCATTTGTTTCCTGAATTAAAAAGATTCGAAGAAAAGTTTTTCCAATATTTTCGAATGTCACAAATCAAATTTGATTATTTTTTTTGCTATCGACTCCCATATTGCATCTTTTCTTTCTTGGTCTCTATATATAAAATGCTTGGCTCGTATCGCACAGCTCTGGATACTTTTGTACCAGTAAAATAAGCTTTTCTTCATTAATATTTAAAACGATTTAAATGTTCGAACTAAAATAAACGAAATCTAAGCTACATCATGCGACTTGAGCCAGCTAGGGTACTCGAAATACTGACGAACCCTTCAATATTTGCATGTTTGTGGAGGTGTGCTGGTTCGCCGGTGCGCACATTAGGTCGGACCAGCACGACCAGGCATAAATATTGCCGGTCATATTTGTCCCTGACCGACACGACCTGTTTTGACGGTCGTGGCTTGTGGCGGTACGTGCTGGTACTGGTCTAGTGTGCTCTACTCTATTAAATAACACGGTCACCTTCACCGGTAGATTTTACTGGTCTGGTCCGTGCTGGTCCGTGTAGGTATAGTGTGCGCGATCTTTTATAAGCTATAGCTAACGGTAGTTACCTGACGCGTGGCTGATATAATTTGGTGGATTCATTATCAACTCCATATCTTCATGAACTGTGGGCAGTGGATCTAGAGCGCTAGCCATATTAGATATGTCATTACTGAAATCACTACTATCACTACTACTAGACGTTTGCGTATTCTAAAACAATATCAAACAGGTTTATTAAATTTGTTTCAAAATGTTTGGGTACAGTGGGTATATCAATACACCTGTTCTAATGAAATACAACACCTCAGTTGCATAGAAAACAAGAAGCTTTAATAACTCTTTTATTTTTAAACACTACCTTGTATTATGTTACCTATGGGATATTTGAAATAAACTTCCAGTTCCCTTTGAAGTCTGTCCATCGAGTTGGAAGATTTCAACAAACGACATTGAAAAAATACAGAATAATACATTTTATCTAAAACGAAAGACAGAACTGTCACTGTCATGTATTCTCTTGATTATTGTCATGTATTCTCTTGATTTATTTATTTATATATAAACGTGACTAAATAAAATTTCGGCAAAAATGTTTAAATTTGTTGTACAATCTAAGATACCGAGCAGCTCTTCATTTTACTTTATAGAGCAAATGATTGTAACATATATTTTACTTCGATTAAAACTGCAAAAATTAGTTTAAACCATAGACTTAAAATAAAATATAGACTGAGCATCTCATTCATAAATAGCTGGAACATGCGGTCAGACAATATCTTGTTATTATTGTGTTATTGTTTCAGGTTATAACGAGTGCGACACGAGCGATAGATAGGTAGTCTCTGTCGTAACGTTCGTTCCCTGACGACTCTGCCGAGAAACACAACACTGTCTTTCGTTTCTCAAGTACACCTGAACTCTCCGTATCATAGCCGGGTAAATTTTTTATTTTAATGAAGCTATAATTAAATTAAAAATATATCGTATTTAAACTTTTTTATATTTTATTAAGATTTAGGACAGGTTTTTTAAATAAAATTTTTTAGAAAAAAACGTCTTAGAGTCCAAAAAGGATAAAAATAATAAAATACACGTTATAGAAGAAATTTTATAATCGAAATTACGTAATTTTTGAAATTAATAATAAATTATTAATTTTAGTCAAACATTTACAACCCCTAATATTAATCAAAACAGGATCTATTCCACAGATATAATAGAATCGGCGACAGGGAGAGAAAAAAAAAAAATGATTGTTGTAATTTTTTCTGGTTAAGTGATGTCTTATTATGTAAATTAGAGAAAACATAAATCTGTTCCATTAAAGCAAGGAAGGTGATAGGAAGTGGATAAAATGAAAACTACATTTATTTAACTCGGTACTGTCTTTATTATACCGGGTGCGTCCCAAAAGTGGCTCATCCCCATAATTTTTTTATATTTTCAAATAAAAAAACAAGATTTAGTATGTTAGTATATGACATAAATTAGGATTGATTGACGCATTCAATTGTTTTTGGTTACTTCCTGTTTCACCGGAAATGACTATAACTTTTTATTTTTAAACGGCACCCTCGGTATATGTCTACTTTATTCGATAGAAAATGACACTCTGAATAGAATGACATATCATGTGTCAACTTTTGACATTTTCGCATATGGTTTAATTGTAATTGTTAATACGCAGTTCATAACGACAATTTGACTCGAAATACCAAGTGTGTGGTATCAATATATTCTAAAAAAAATGCTTTTTTCAAATATGCTAATGAGTCACCCTTGTTCCATTTGAAAAAATTGACATATGTATGATTAAAAATACGATTTGTGCATCTTTTAACCGGCCTAGACAAGACACGAAACCCATTAGACGATCAAAACTATTTTTCCAAGGCTCCTTGATTAAAACTTAGTGTTTTTAACAACACCATGGTACCCTGGATTGAAATTTAAAAGTTGACATATGATATGTCATTCTATTCAGAGTGTCATTTTTTATCGAATAAAGTAGCAATATACCGAGGGTGCCTTTAAAAATCAAAAGATGTAATCATTTCGATGAAACAGGAAGAGACCAAAAACAATTGAATACGTCAATAAATCCTAATTTATGTCATATACAGTACGTCTGCTAGATCTGTGTCTATGAAAGGAATGCGGACAAAAAACATTTAAATAAACAGCAATATATTTTATACGTCGACTTGACGAGTACGTCACCGCAAATAGCTCCGCCCACTCATTTTATTGGCTATTTGCAAATTTGTCGAATTTTTATTGATGGGACGCGTCGTTTAATTTTTTACGAAAAACATTGAGAGAATATTGTTTCCTCTCTCACGGATACACCGTAGCTACAGAACGGACAGACGTACTGTACTGTACCTACTAACATACAAATCTGTTTTTTTATCTGAAAAAATAAAAAAATTATAGAGGTGAGCCACTTTTGAGACGACCCGGTATATTAAAAAATATTGTTTCATAATGTAAAATCATTTTAAAATTCTTGTATGTTATTTTAGATTCTGAAGATAATTTTAGAATAAACCGGAATATATTTTTAATAAAAACATTATTAATTATTAACAGGGTTATAATTATGATTTTGTTACAATGTAAGTAAGTAAATAATTTAATGTAAGAGAAAAAATTCAGATTTTACATTTTACTAAAATATTATCTAAATAAGCGCCTTTCTACAACGCCACTGACCCCCAATGGGTAAATTGAGAGTTGCCTAACGGTCGAAAGTCGTTTCAAGACTTAAATGGATTATTTAAGCCAAATTTCTTGCAAATTTGGCACTGGCGAACCATATTTTATAGTTCTTGAACAGAACAAGTAAATAAAATAAACATTTAAGGACTACAAGCTAAGAAAATGCGTTAATACAGCCGGGGACATAGCGGCAACAAAGCTTTACCGCACACGTGCGACGCGTACTACAAGGTAATAAATGAATGAATAGGCTCCCTCGCCTCTAATCGGTGTTGTCATATTGTAAAGAACTTATCCTTTTTAAACAGTATCCGACTTATAATTTAGTAGTATAAGGACTATTTAATATATCTATGGAATATTAAAACCTACTTTATTAAAACTGTAATATTAATATCTCAATATATGTGTATAACAAGAAAAAAAATATTGATAATATTAAAGACGTGACAACATAGGCTGGATGAGGAAGGCTCGGTCGACTGTACCCAGAAGTAAACATGTGTACAAAAAAGCTTGTTTGACCGCGTTGAGATGTAAATAGTGTAGTCTATATTTTATTTTAAGTCTATGGTTTAAACCGAATTTTATTATCGCTATGTTGGTCACATTGCGCCGTGTTCAGCAATGTCCTTTATTATTTGACAATTATCCTAGTGTCAGTCATTATTTTGTTTAATATCGTGTTGTTGTTGAATCTTTGTGAGTAATTCTCGTTTTTTGCCTATTTTCATAGTTTTTTTTAAATTGTACTTTTAAGCACAAAAGGTTCTTTTAAGAACTAAATTTTCGAGTTTTTGTATAGCATTTCTTGAAATTGTGTGTTGAAAATATGCTGAAGCACAGGGGCGCGCCGACCCCTGGCAGCGCCTGTGTGCGAAGCCTATAAAGCGCCTTTTTTGTCGTCGTTATTCGACATGATTATTTTTTTTATTTTTCAAATTTGGACCGAAAGATGTTCTCCAGTTTTATATAACTTTTAGATATAGTATTTTCCTAAATAGTTAAAAACGGTTCGCTTCCGCTTGTCAATTACTACCATTTATAGTACTGCCATCGTGTTCATAATCAACACTTGTCGCCAACACAGCGCGCCACTTGAATAGATAATCGTACAGAAGGCTAGAAAATACCTATTTTAAACTTTTTAGTTTCTGTGTTAAAATTGACAAATCTTATGATGTTGCAAATTTGCTCTAGATAAATTTGAAAAATAAATATCAATTCGAAATAAAATTTGGAATTACATAATAACCCATATAATAATCTTCATAATGAACTAGTTTTTGCCAATAATAAGTAAAATAAGCTATAAAACTAATAAATCAATTAATCACTAAAATATTAGTTATTAAATTAAAAATAAAACGTAAAACTCTTTAAAAAATGATATAATAAATATGTTGTTTGTCAATTTTAAATTAAGATTCATCTCATAAATCCATCACAATCTGGCAGCGCTGTCGCCATCGCTTGTCACTCAAAGTAGAACACGTGCATCGGAAATTGTTTTGCCATTACTTTGAATAGGAAGACTAAGGAAGGAGCATATCAAAAATCTTAGGTCCACCGCGATGGGACTCAAATATGGCCGACTTAAATTCCGGTTTATCAGTGCCGTTCTAATTTTATTTAAAAAATGTAAAACTATAATGTAGGATAGACGTGGGGTAGACGCAATTTTTTTTTTATTTTATGTTGTGAATAAATGTTGGTAGTTATTAAAATTGTTATAAAAACATACTATTATAATAAAAATAGATAACTTTTAATAATTATTTATTAACACAAACATCCGATAAGCTACTGAAGCAGGTGAGTCAAATTGACGTATCTAAAATTTTTGACATCTAATCTTTGACAAGTAGTAAATAAAAGCAAAAATGCAAGAAAAAATATATAATCAGTTAATTTAAGTGAATTTCATAAATGATCGGTTTACTACACGTATGTATATTATATAGTCACTTACTAACGAAAAGTTGTTCCATTATTTCACTCGATTTTTGCCGAGATCTACCGCACACTGCACAACCAACTATTTTAGAGTCTTTTTCGATAAATCGCGATAGTGTCACTGTTAATTTAAGTTCTGCCACAATTTCCATCTAGATTTACTACCTTACAGCACTAAAAAAAATCAAAATTTTAAGAATACAAATGAGGTATTCCATTTGAAACAGGCGTACTGAAACACCCGGGAGATGAAGGTACTTACCTCTAAATATTGCAGGTACATATCACTTTTAAGAAAATTGGGGTAAGTCGTGGTTACGATTAGATTCTCGATTTGCGCTTGCGCTTTGTCGTAGAGAGTTACTGGAGGCTCAAGGCACTGGGAAGACTTAAATAATTCTCCGATTTCTCTTCGTAACTCATCGCTTATTGGAAGAGCGGACTTCACAAAATATTGCCTAAGATAATAAGAAATATAGTTTACAAACAAGAACCTCTTGCAATGTTAAGCTGCGTCCACATTGCTCGCGAGCAGGCCTAACGAACACGTGAAACACGAAAAACATGGCAAACAGTCGGAGCGAGATGTTCGCGGCGCTCGCGGATCCTATGAAATGCCTGTTTCGACTGTTCGGCTCTGTCGCGGTACATCAAAGAGACGCTTTGGAGCTATGCGAGCATACTTCACGGCGCACAGTGGTTTCGGCAATGGAAAAAACGACTCAAAAAAGAGGGTGTTAAATCGGGTTTAAATTATCCTATCTTACATCGAGTTAGTTCAAAGACAATATAATAATATTACTTTTTTAATTTAATTACTAGTTTTGAATTTACAACACCTCCTTTTAGACCATTTTCTTAATATACAAAACGCGCAAAAGTAAAGCGAAAACAAGTAATATTTTACAGCCCTTCTTTTAATTCCTAAAAATCGGTATTACCCAGGAACTGTTTCGTTTATCCATGGGCATTAAAAGTAAAAATCATATATATATATATATATAATATACCGTGCCTTTGATGCAGTTTAGTTTGAATCTATTTCTAATAAAATTACTTTACTTCTTACTTTAATCAGACTAGCACAAAAAAGTTTTACCGAGCTTTGGTCTTGGATTAATGTGACTAAAAAAAGCAACTGTTAAAGTAGTGATTCTATAAATTTTATCGCCACATTCGGCCACGTTTGTTAAAAATTTAAAATAAAAGATAAAGAGTGTGGAAAAAAATGAAAACTACATTCTTCATTTTTGCGGATGCCGATGAATTCATTTAATATAATTTACTTTTTTTGCCACTTAAAACTATATAAATATCATTATATTGTATAAGATTTAAATGTTATAAATTATAATAATTTGAACCACAGTGTAACTAAACTGAGCATCAATTGAAGCGTAAAGTGCAAATTTTTGCATTAAGTTTAACTTCTTGTATTTTTTTAAACTTTTGAAGGGATTTTGAATTTGCCAGCCAGATTCTAAAACATTGTTTTATGGACTATCGAACCGTTCTTTGTAGTTTTCTTCAATTATTGGTTTTCAACCCACAATACAGGGTAAAACAAAAATGCGCGCATTTTTAACAAAATTTTAAGTGAGCCTCATTTTGTGGAGGTATGGAGAAGATCCATTTTTTGTGGGTGAAGTAGGTGTTTTATACCTCGGGACGTTTATGAGTTTTTTTGGCTATCGCTCTCCATTGCGATGTTTTCGATATTCTTATGATTGTCGGTAGAGTTTTAATACTAACAATTTTATCCCATTTTGAAATGAAGATATCGTATTTTTAAGCATTATGCATTTTAATGTATAATTAAATAAAGCAAACAAATAATTTTATAAAACTAAAAAGTGTTACAGTTATACAGGGCGTTAAAATTTATCTAGCTGGTATATTTAAATTATATGAACATTTTTTATTATGTATCTTGGCATAACAAAAAAAGCATTTAACACTTTTTCATTAACGATACAGTATAATCACTTAGTATAATTATTAGTTAATACGCATAATACTAAAAAATACAATATATTAATTTTATAATAAGATAAATTTATTAGAATTAAAACCTTACCGAAAATCATAAAAAACGGAAAACATCGCAATGGAGAGCGATACCCCAAAAAAACTCAAAAACGTCCCAAGGTATAAAACAGCTCTTTTAAAATACCCACAAATAATGAAAATCCTCCATCCCCCCACAAAATAGAGGTCACTTAAAATTTTGTAAAATTGCACGCATTTTTACCCTACGTTTTACCCTCTATTATGGGTATTGGCCAATAATTAAATAAACTGCAAAGAAAGGCTCGACAGTCGATAAAAAAGCGTTTCGGAATCTGGCTAGCAATTCAAAACGTCTTCAATAGTTCAGAAAATACAAGAAGTTCACTTGATGCAAAAATTTTCACTTTACGTCTCAATTGGTGCTCAGTTTACTTTTAAATAAATTTATTAAACTATGTTATTTGATGTATTTTAGTAAGCTGAATCGAATAAAATCCGTCCCAAAGCAATTGGATTAACGGTTTAGGAAATATAGGGTTTTTTCGTTATATTATCAGTTTCACGCGACTGTGCGACGGCGGCGGTTTGAAGCGCTCGAACTGTTTACGTTGTTTGTTAAGTTTTTAGTTTGGTTTCATAGAATTCGGTATTTACTGCAGTATGATGACACTACCATGATTTTTCTTATTTTATTTTGTTCAGAATTACAAATATTTTTGTTTTGTTCTTGGATTAGTATTAAATATACCTTTAATAAAATATAACTCTCACTATATTTATAGTGCCTACCTATCTTAATCTGATCTTTGAGAACTTTATTTATATTTTGACATACGCCTGGTATTATTTTTGAAATGCTTTGCTTGGAAACTTTGAATAAATAATCCAAACTGGTATGTGAGTCTCTAGTTGCAAAGAATCTTAATGTTATGGCCAATCTTTATTTAACTCTTTCTTTAACCGGAATACACTTCCTAAAAGTTGTATTTTTCCTTTCTATGCGGGGGCCAACTAAGTTAATAAGTCTCTCAAAATCGGTAGAGGACATGCGATAAAAAATATTAAAAAACATTATGTATGTTTGTAAATCACGTAGATGTTTACTTACACTGTGCTGGGATCTACTTTTGAAATTATTAGACATCCAACACCGCCTTTTTTCTCTTTGTCTACTTCGTTTTGCAATAACGATCGCACTAGTAGCCGCTATTAAAAATACTTGGGTATCATCCAAGTCCGAACAGCACGAACGCAAGCACTACATTACAATGTGAACGCCGCGCCGTTGCTTGCGAGCCGGAAGATCTTGAGAAACACGACAAACAGGAAGCGCAAGCAACGCAAGCACAATCAGAAGCAAGAGCGCGAGCAGGACCACGACCATTGTGGACGCACCTTTACATTTGAGAAGAGTATCGGTTGAATAAAATTTAATAAATATGATTTGCTTACCTATAAATTACTTTAACAAGTTGCATAATTTTATCTGATCCCTGCTGTTTTCGTAGCCCTTCGCATGCGAACCAGAAGTCCAGAGTGTCAGCATGCTGTTTACCTTCCGAATGAAGGTACTGTAATAAAGAAAATGTAACATTAACAATGCAATATGGAATAAAATATCCACTAAGACTGATAATACTTAATATTTGATATCATTTAACCTTTTAGTTTTGTTGATGTAAATAATAACTATTTATACAGGGTTATTCACCACATACGACACGGAGTATTGTAGCTAAACGATTAGATTTTTACAAATTATAAGTTTTGGGTTCGTTGAAGGACTATTAGAGCTACAATTTAAAAATATTTTTACAATACACAGGGTGTCCCAAATAAATAAAAAAATATCAAAGTTGTATTTTTTAAACGGAACACCCTATATATTATTACATTTTTAGTTTCTACGATTAAAATAAAGGTAAATTTGATTAAGGTTTATCACACTTAAACCTTACCGTTTTTGAAATATTTACAATTTTGTGAAATTGCAGTAAAAATTTTAAGGCTTCATTTCTCCAAGGACATCAAAAAGTTTTTAAGACTAAATATTTACTGAAGTTTAATTATTGCTCAGTGATTGTGTCGCAATAACAAAAATAATATTACCTCATACAGAGTGTATAAAAATTTATTTTAAAAAATTTCTAGCTTTAAACGGCAATAACTTGTTTAATTTAAATGGAACACCCTATATATTTTAGGAGAATCAGAAGCACAATTTAATTGTCTATCAAATTGTATTATACCATTTTTACCTATCCCTACAAGCACAGAATATCTAGCTACGCAACAGAAGCCTCGTTACATGTATAAAATTGTAGGTAGCAAAAGGAGACAGGCTTTAAAAGCCTGTCTCCAAATCAGATATTTTGATGTGGTAGTTTCGCTACTACATAATAGAGGGCAATAAATTTAAAAGAAAACAATTTTCTACAAACAAAATTTAAAAGAATTTTGTGCAGTGTTGCCATTGTGTAATTCATATCGTAATACTTCCTGATAAAGCCTACCTTCAAATTTGCTACATCATTTAAACATATTAAAATAGATCAGAGCTGTTTTTTTCAATTTGTCATGTTAGTTGGAATTAAATCTTATGAGCTAAATTACAATCACTTCCTGACGTTTGATTGTATAATTGAATCCTGAATTTTCATTGTAATTCGGCGACAATATAATAAGTATTGTTCTACTATTATGATACCACTTCCTGACGTTCAATTGTGTTCTTACCAAGTTCATATCGTATAATCGGGAAAAAACGGTTCGATAGCTATGAAATGAATATCGCTGTCATTTTATATGTAAATTTATATGGGAAATGTCATCGATCGTCCTTTTTCAGCCAACTGGACGCCGTTTTTTTCAGAAGCATATCAAGTGATACCATAATATAGTACTATATTACGATACATGGCGTTCGATTGGGCTTAAACTTGGTATACTATATCTTCAGTGACATTGTAATATCATGGTACCATGGAGCATATAAAGTGGTACCTTCTATAGTACCATATTTGATGACATAGCAATATTAGGTACATGGCGGCAATAGGGCTTAAACTTGGTATACTACGTATTTTCAGTGATATTGTAATATTATGGTACCATGGAGCATAATACGAGGTACCATAATATAGTACCATATTACCATGCCATTTCCTGGCGTTCGATTGGGCTTAAACTTGTTATACTACGTATCTTCGGTTACATTGTAATATGATGGTACTATGATGCATATAAAGTGGTACCTTAATATAGTACCATATTTCAATACCATTTCCTGGCGTTCGATTGAGCTCATATTTGATATATACTTGCGTATTTTTGATGACATTGCATTATTATGGTACCATGAAGCATATCAACTGGTACCATAATATAGTACTATATTAGGTACATGGAGTTCGATTGGGCTTAAACTTGGGATACTACGTATTTTCGGTGACATTGTAATATGATGGTACTATGATGCATATAAAGTGGTACCTTAATATAGTACCATATTACGATACCATTTCCTGGCGTTCGATTGGGCTCAAACTTGGTATACTACGTATCTTGGGTTACATTGTAATATGATTGAACTATGATGTATATAAAGTGGTACCTTAATATAGTACCATATTACGATACCATGTCATGGCGTTCGATTGTTCTTAAATTTGGTATACTACGGATCTTCGGTGACATTGCAATATTATGGTACCTTAAAGCATATCGAGTGGTACCATAATATAGTACACTATTATGATATTATTTCCTGGAGTTCGATTGGGCCCCAAATTTGGTATACTTGCGTTTCTTTATAAAGATTTGTTTAATTAATAATTTTAATTTATTTTACGAATTTTAATTTATTTTAATTTATTGTTCGATGTCGTGACAGCAACTTTTATGCCGAACTAATATATTATTAATTGTACCTGTGTCACTTTTTAAAATCTACCTAGGTCTATATAAATAACGTGGCAAACGGAAGAAATTTGTTATTATAGTATTTTTTAGTCAGTTAACATTTTTTGTACTGCATTTTAATAAATTATTTCCATTATTATTAAACTTATATTTCATTACTAACGTTCCAGCATTAATAAATATCACTATCAATCGCCCTGTCTATTATTAATTTTAAAGGTAATTAAAGGTATTTTCTTAGTTAACATTATAAGGTAGTGTATATAAAAAATGTATATGTTTTGTAATAATATACTTAAAACTATTTTAATAGCCAAAGGAATAATTAATATAAGTGTATCAGACAAGAAAAGATGAATAGAAAGAAACACATACTGCATTATACATAATAAAAAGAATGGGATGCCAATTCAAGTCTTTTTGAATCTGGCAACTGTGCATATTTAGCCGAGCTATAAGGCCGTCGACGAGCCGTCGATCCAAAACCGAAAGTTCAAAATTTCTAATTATATTCTGATTATGACATTGTCGCGCCATCTAGTATTTTATTTGTGCAATTTTAGCTCTTTCATTTCGAGTATTTTTCTGTTGCGTAGCTAGATATTCTGTGCTACAAGTTTTCGTAGAAAGAACATTTTCTCATTTATGACCTCATTTATCAATATCTCTCATGACCTCATTTATCAATATACCCATGGAATATTGACATTTTAGTTTGTTTTTAGAGCAATAAATGTACAAAATATACAGGTGCTAATAACGACAATATTACTAGTCCATTTGTATAAAAAAAGAAAACTATTTAAATCTTTATAAAAGAGTATAACATTAATTAAATATACCACCATTATTTCCGCCCAAATATTAATTAATTACATACTTAATTGTGTTAGTTAATAAATTATTCTAAATATATGTAAATTTGAATCAGAAATAAATATAATAATAAGTTATGACAATGAACATCTCTGCTGTTATAAATAAGCATTCTTCAAAAAATAAAATAAAATTTTTAAGGTGTTACTTTTTACCACACTGTCTAATACACATACAAAATTCAGTTTTTTAGTATTTGAAGCTATTATTATTAATCAACGCAAACAGTTAATTAATGTAGTTTGAATACTGGGATCATATTAATTTTTTCTCTTTAACAAATATTTAAACAGTTTTTTTTTATTTTTTAATTAAATAAACGAACTATATCGACAATATTTTAAAAATAATCCAAAATGTCAATATTCCATTGGTGTATTGATAAATGAGGTTTAGATTAAAATGCGGTAAACCTTAATCAAATTTACCTTTATTTTAATCGTAGAAACTAAAAATGTAAAAATATACAGGATGTTCCATTTAAAAAAATACAGCTTTGATATGTGGATTTATTTGGGACACTCTGTATCTTGTAAAAATATTTTTAAATTGTAGCTCAAATAGTCCTTCAACGAACCCAAAACTTAAAATTTGTAAAAATCTAATCTTTACCTACAATACTCCGTGTCGTATGTGGTGAACAACCCAACCCTGTATAGTTATAATTAATTTCTTTGTTTTCTAAAATATTTTAATTAAAAGAAAATATATAAAAGTGGCAACGCTGTGCCGGTCAAACTTAATCACGTGACTAAAAGTTGTTTGGTATCAAGAACAGTTAACCTAGTAGGACTGCCCATTCAGCCAAAAGTGTCTGCCAGATGCATGCAAAAACTCCTCGCTTTGTGACGTCATTGTAGTCCTTGTCATGGTTATTCAATGGTTATTAGTCCTTATCCGGCAACCAATAATACACACACGTGCATTATTGGTTGCCGGATGCAAAATGTTCATTATTTAGTTTATTTATTTAAACACCTTATATGTATGCAGTATAGAAAATTAACTGTATAAATTGTATTAAATACTCGGATAATGCATTTTTAAGAACAGCATCACCTTTTGCAGTCATTCTTTTTAGAGTACTTCCATAATTTGCCTTAAAATAATTAATAAACAATATTGTAGGCACTTAGTAAGCACTTTGTCACAATCCACAACACAAAATGAACGTATTTATACACTCTATAGCTCTAAAAACTTTAAAAACACCTTTTTCACATTTAAAATTGACAAAATAATTAACTCAAAATTTCTCAGCTGTTATTTTTATAAGTTTACCATAGGCAACTAATAATACACACTATCATGACAAGGACTACAATGACGTCACAACTGTCAGCTGAAGCGCGGGAAGAGGCGAACGTACGTCTTATGAGGATGAGCAATCCTATTAGTTTATCGTTCTTGATTTGATATGAACTGTATATTTAATTTTGGAATTTTACACAATGTTTCTCTTATCAAGTACAAACTAAATAAGTCCAAGCAAGTCTTAAATAAGTCCAAATATTTTCAAGGCTGGTAGATCTCGATAAAAGAAACATATTTTCTCTTTACCATTTTTCAAATAAGCCCAACATAACCGAGTTATTTTATTTTGAAAATTTCCAAAAAAAAATGTTTTCTGCTTAAATTTTGAGAACCAGTGGATTTTTTTCTGGGGTTTCTTTCTTGTAAATTTAATCTACTACCTATGTTGCCATATTATCAAGAAATTATGTTTTTTAACTAAAAAAAATAAAACAAGCTTACCTGTCTAAACAGCTTGACCCCGTCGCCATCTTGCAGCAAGGCGTGCAGTGAGTTTGCCCACCGCAAGCAAGATGGCGGCGACTTGCTGCCCGCCTGAGTTTCTGTCGTTTTTTCCATGACACGGTTGGAGGAGCAGGCACCATCGTGAGCTGTGGAAGAAGCCGACATGGACACTGCAAAAGATAAAAAAATGCTTAGTCTACAGTATGTCCCCGGATTGTCTTTACAAGAGAAAGCGCTTTTTTATTATTGACATTTTGAGGAAAATGCATTCTAACCTAGTTCATAATTCTAAACTAGTTCATATACAGGAAAACACTTTACTTTTTTTAAAACATATACGTCTAAAAAAACCGTTGACGTTCTGTTAAAATGACATTATATCAAGTTAAACTTCAAAATTAACAATTACTACCTGATAACAATTACTTATAAGATAAAACCAAAAAGATTCAAACTTTCTGTATGATTATTTTTAATTTGTTTTTAATTTTTACGTATGTTATGTTCTTTAAAATCAAAGGAGTGTTTGCCATACATAACTAACATCTACAGATGCATGAGCAATACATTTATTTTTATTAAATTGTATTAAAAAAGCCTCTTTTATTTTTCTTTTAGAGGCTATCGCTTCTTTCATTATAATTTTGGCGTGGTTAAAATTTATTCTGTGCCCTGTGTCCCATGAGTACTGACAAATCTTAGATTTCTGAAAATCTCCCTTTTTAAATAATCTTTATGTTCTTTAATTCGAACATTTAATGGTATAGATGTTTCACCAATGTAAAATTTATCGCATTCACATGGTATTTTGTATATTACATTTTTTGTTTGTTGTTCAGTATTCATTGGTTTAGTGTGTGATAAAATGGATCTATGTAAGTGTATTTTGTGTTTTGAATGATGTTTATTCGTATTTTATATTGTTTTCCTACCCTTCTTATTTTAACATCTTATCAATATTATCTTATCAAAAAATAACTATGTTATTTTGTAGATTTTCTTGCAGTGGCGAAATCCGAAATACCCATATATGATTTTTTGGAGAGATGAATCCGCCATATAGATAGGTATAGACATTTTTTAAAATAATTAATTACTATTTACCATTCTGGAAAGTGGAATTCCTTTTGGTGGTTGGGGAGTAGGGCCTGGCGAACTTGCCCCCCTCCACCTGTGCCTGCTCCCCATCCCAGTCGGACACGTAGTGCCTCTTCTCCTCGCCGGGGATGGGCGGTCTCGGAGTCGTATGGTCGAAGGAGACCCCATGGACGTGGTGCTCCTTGTTACTCATAATGGAACAAATACTGGCCCGCGGGCTGAGGCTGGAACGCTATTTGAACAACACGGCGAATGCTTACTGGGCGAGAGCATTGTTTCTCCACCTGCAACACCAAGAAAAACAATTGTGAAGGAAGATCGAAAGAAAATTTATTTAAAAAAAATTATGACGTCTCTTCTACACTTATATTTTATAATTTCTTTTTTATCAAGTTTAACAATACAAGAACAATATTGATCGATATTAAGTTTTAATTTAATATATTTGTAGTTTATTCCAGCATACATAATTATACAGGGTGTTCCAAAAAACATGTGCCATCTGTCGTGGGGAGATTCCTCACGTAAAATTAAGATTTATTTTTCATAGCAACATAGATCCGATTCTGCTTTTATTTGTAGCTACAGGGTGTTAAAATCTTAATATTTTTTCGATTTATTATAATTTTCTTCCAAGTACTTTTAGCGTTTCGAATAAAATTTTGAGGGTAAAAGTTATTATAAATGCGACATATTTTAAAGCCAAAAAAGTGTCGACATGTTCTCCAGGGACGTGCATATGGGTTATCACTGGAATATTTTTCTAAAAAAAGCATGTACGCCACTGACTTTATTTTCTCTTGTTAGCGAAATAGTATAAGCAGTTTAATGCCAATTAGAAGTTGTATCTTGATTTTTTTCCGATTTCGGCCTCCTTGATGAGATAAACGCAATTTTATTAATTTGCCTTGGTCCAAGTCTAATAACAACCTTTAAAAAATGTAATATTTTTAACTTGCGAAAGTTTTAAATAAGTACTTATTGGTTCCTCATCAAAAAATATGAAAAAAAATGTCTATAAACATGGGCATAAAAATGCATAGTTTTACAGGATGTTAAAACTTTTTAAAATTAGGTATTTTGCAATTATCTTAAATACCATTATTTTTTTATTTTAAATAGCTGTAGGTTGGACTAATAGTAATATAATAACTAATAGTAATAATATTTAATAATAAATTCAGTAAAATATATAATAATTAATTAATTTTATTTTTATTTCAGTTTTATTAATTGTGATTAATAAAATTGCGTTTATTACATCAAGGAGGCTAAATTCGACATAATATCAAGAGATAATTTTTAATTGGCATTAAACGGCCTACACAATTTTGATATCAAAAGGAAAAAAGTCAGTGGCGCAAAGTTATTATTATTATTATTATATGCTTCCACAGGTAGATAATTTGAAAACCACAATTTAAATATAATAACACAATAGTTTTAAAATATAATCAGTATTAACTATAACACAAAAATTTGTACTGCACAAAAATTTAAAAAAATTGGTATCATATTTTAATCAATTATGAAGACATTCACAAAAAAGTATGTATCTAAAGCTAATACAATAAATTTATTAATCCCCCTAATTCCAATTCAGATTTAGAACCCCAAGACCTCTCCGTAAGCCATATTCCACTCCGATCAATAAAAAGTCTGACTCACACAAAGAGTGCTTCGAAGGCTTGCGTACTATGCCCATCAACTTCTATATTGATTACGGGCAAACAAAAGAAAGAAAAATAAATTTGAGAACCTCATAACATTATTAAGTCAAAATCTTAAAAATTAATACAGGCCCAGGTAAAAATTCTCTACATGTACCTATAATATTACATGGAGTACAATGGGCTTAGGCAAACTCACTGAGGTGGAAAATCTGAACAATACCATCAAAAATATGAGCAAAAATAACGTTAGGCATGCTTTTAATATATCTAAACACACACACATATTAGTTTTATATATCTAAAAGAAAATAACTCGAAACACATAACGTACCCTCTAGCAGTGTACCCCATGGTAGAGCCCGGTGAACAAAGAGAATATAAAAAATGAAGATACTGGGATATAATGGGTATTATTTTTTACTGATGAATTATGAAAAGCTGTCAGTTTTAATAACTGAGATGTTTGATGATAGACAGTCGAATAGGAAGTAAGCGAAATGCGTAGTGAGAGAAACCGAAAGCTCTTCGATCGAAGTCTGAATACTGCAGTGGGGGTTTAGGGCTTTTGTTAGACCTGGGGTTATATAAAATCAATCATTTGGTGATTTAGAAAGCAAATTACAATTCAAGAAAGAAAAAAAAGAAAAAAATTTGAAAAAAAAATTACACAAATTATTAAAAATACCAGCAGAAATTATGAAAAAAAGCACTAAAGAAGTAATTTTAAAACAATCAGATTCCTTAAAAAAATAATAGAATTTTTTTATAAGACAATTTTAAAAAAGCAAGTATTTTTGCAAAGTAATTTATTAAAAAATCATATCAAATCCAATTCTAAGATATCAAATTCATTTTATAAAAAATAAATTATATTGTATAAAAGGATTTAATAACCGTTTTGATTTAATATGTATAGACAAAAAATATTATAAAACAATATAAATATTTTATATATAAAAATTAAAATCAGCGCATTCGCCAAAACGTCAAGAAATGTTGTATATGTGACGAAACAACTCTTAACAGAATTTTATTTATTTTGTAAATCAATATTTCTGTACTTTTTGAACTAAAATGGTTGTAACTAGTGCTGAGCAAATACAAGACTCAAGACCAAGACCAACATTACCTACCTCAACTGTAATCTTGGCCTTGGTCTTTCTCAAGTCTTGAAGTTTTTTAAAGAGATTTTGACTAGAGGCACATTCTACATAGAAAATATTTAAATAAATATTATTTCTAGTAATTTGTTACAAATAATAAATATAGTAAAAGTAAAATATAAATTATTAGTTCACAATTATATATGAAAAAATTCAATGAGAAAATTAAAAAGAAACTTCAATACAAAGACCATAATATAAGATATTTTCTAATATACATAAAGATAATCTAATTTTGCAATAGTGTAAAATACCTACAATTAATCAACAATTAACAATTACAAAATTAATGAAAGACATGTTTCATTCATTCATGCAAATTAATACAAAATACAAGCGTATCAATAAAAAATCAAGTTTTATATAAATAAAATGACTAATAAATGTCAACATAGAAAAAAAAAATAAACACGTACGAAATAAAGCATTAAAAATAATAAAAAATAAAATAAATATTGAATATCAATAGTAATATTATTTAAACAATTCTAAATAAGCAATAAAAATTATAAGATATGAAGAACAATGACAAAAACACATACAACACAATAAAAAATAATAAAAGGTATTAAAAAATTAAAAAGAATATATTCATAGTTCATTGAAAGGGCATCAACAAATATAATTCAAAAAATTATTTTATTCATTTAAAGTCATTCAAATTAGCGGTAAAAACTAGAAATAACTGCAAAAATTTATAAAGAAAAAGAAAGAAAAAAATGACACCATACAAAATCATAAAAAGTAATATAAATGCTGAAACGAAAAATAATGTATTCTTCATTTCCTTCAATTAATATGTTCATATTAAAGATGTTAATAAATATAAGGTAAAAATTTTAGCAATAAAACACCTGACAAACCTACAATAAAAAAAATTATTAAATTATAAAGAATTTAACTTTATACATTCTTTCAAATAAATAAAAAATAATGCAAAATATTGCAAAATATTTATATATTAAAATATAAATTAAAAAAAAATAAAATAAACAACACAAAGAAAAAAATATGTAAATACCTACAATGCAACTAAAAATTTAATATAAATTATTAAATTAAAAAGTGCAATAATAAATATATTAAACTTTTTAATTTAATAAATTATATTTATTCCTTCAAATAAATATAGGCAAATTAACAAAAATTAAAAAAAAAACAAAGAAAATAGTGCATAAAATTAATAATAAAAGTGAATTAGCTGCCTAAACTATAAACAATAAAAACAAAAAATATACATATACAAACATTTAGAAATAAAAGTAATAAAAATGATAATACTATTAGAAAATAATACATTCAATAATATAATAAATTAATAAAAACTTAAAAAAAATAAAAATATAAATGTACAAAGTTTTAAAAATAGAAACAAAAATAGCAGTGCATACCGACGCCATACAATGTAATTAAAAAAATAGCAATAGCATAACCTACCCATAAAATGTAATTAAAGAAATAATAACGATCGTTTAATTACACATAATAAATCACAGTATAGTAAAAATTATTAAATTACACAGAAGATACTCTTCATTTATTACTTATTCATTTAAATAAAGAAAGCCAACACAAATATTGTTTAAACTATTTCTATTAAGCCAAAGAACTAAAAATCAAAACCCAGAATTTTTGAAAAATAAATGGAAGAAAATTTGATACCAAGAAAAAACAACAAAAATGCAATAACGTAGAATGCATAAAAAATTAAGAAAAATAATAAAATTAACGACGAAGAAAAAATGAAAAAAGACAACACGATAAAAAAATACTTCAAATTAAGAACGAAAAAAAATATTTCTAATGAGCACAATACAAAAAACTTACGACTTGACATTTCAATTTAAACGCAAAGTCACCCACCTCATGATTGAGAGTATTCCAATATGGAAATGTCTGGCGTGTTATGTAACGTGAAAGCTTCAGACAATACAAGAAAACTGCATTAGAAAAGTCCCGAAAATTCAATTTGGCGTTTTTCTTGCGCACGGATTCAAATCCCAAACCCTTAGAGAATAGAACGGTTTTCGATCTACCGGGTGTAATAGTCCAAATTAAATATTTAAAAGCAGGAATTTAAGGATATACAGGGTATGAGTGCATTAGAAAATTAAATTGCTAAAAAAATAAATGATATATATAATATTTCAGAAATCTGCCTAAGACTTATCCGAATCCTGTCGTGTTAAGCCACACCCAAAATTCTAAACATACGTGCTTTGATTAAGGCTTGATTAAGGTTTGCAGAGCTTCAGCATTTGCCATAAAATAGTGAGCAATTTGTTATAAAACCATATAAATTATATATCGCTGTAATCACAAAACTACAATCTATTTCCGTATTGTAACGGAATTTTAAATTATGTCTTTATTTTCGAGAAAATTTAGTCCAAACATAAGGAATATTTTTTTGATGTTTGACCATCAAAATCTTAAAAATAAAGAAGT